GCTTCGGTCGGAGGTGGAGAGACAATTATTGCCTGGAGTTGGCTTGCAGGTCATCCTGGAAGGCAAACCATCCCGTACTTTTCCTGATCCCCCCTGCGTCCGCGTGTGTGTGTGCATGCACCAGGAACATGAGAGGCTTGAGGAGCTTCGGTTGGAGGTGGAGACGGGCTTGAAGATCGTAGCGCAGGCAGAGGAGCTGGGTTCATCATATGGCGCCAAGAGCAGGCACGGCAGCTGGTGGTGCTTGCTTTTGATTTGACTCAAGTGCGTTGGAGGTGGAGAAGGGTTTGAAGATCGTAGCGCAGGCAGAGGAGCCCTGGTTAATCATGTGGTGCTCAGGGCAGGTGGGCCTGGCAGTAGCTGGAGCGTCTTGAGCACAGAGGTACATTGCACATGGTAGCGCATGTATCACAGTATCTGCAGGGAGTTGCATGGCGGTGCATGTATCACAGTATCTGCAGGGAGTTGCATGGCGGTGCATGTATCACAGTATCTGCAGGGAGTTGCATGGCTGTGCATGTATCACAGTATCTGCAGGGAGTTGCATGGTTGTGCATGTATCACAGTATCTGCAGGGAGTTGCATGGCGGTGCATGTATCACAATATATGCACGGAGTTGCATGGCTGTGCTTGTGCATGCAGCATGTGCATGTGCATGGCGTTAAGCAGCGATAAATAGAGTCCGATTCTCTAGCAACATCCCTTAACCTTCCATTTTTGACTGATTCACCCTCTATTTGCCCGTGCCGTAACTCTCCATTTCTTCTCTGCCCGTCCCACCTTTCAGAGTCACTGTTGTATTGCCATCGCCACTGCCATGTGTATATTGAGTAGACTTGAAATACCCCTCCTTCAAATCATGCACTTTCTGCCCACCTACTCTGTAACTTCCCCCCCTTCTGCTCTGCTCGTCCTCCCACCCGTCAGAGTCACTGCTGTATCGCTGTCACCACTGCCATGGCACGCATTCGTTCAGCCAAGCCAGGAAGAAGAGATGGGGCTGGAGGCTGCACCCACGTTTTTGCTGCCAGAGGATATAGATTTGGATGAGGTGAGCGTTGTGCTAGTCGCTCCAGCAGGAAGAAGAGATTTGAGGGGGTTGCACCAGCATCTTTCCGGCCAGATTATATAGATTTGGATGAGGTGAGAGAGACGTGCTGATTGCCTGTAAGGAGAAGAGATGGGGCTGGAGTCTGGAGGTTCCATGCCCAGCTGGAGCCAGCACTGCGTTCTTTCTTGTGTTGGACGAGAGAGATCTAAGTGAGCCGAATGGGAGCCGGAGGTTCCGTTCCGGGATGGAGCTGCGGATAGACTTGTGGGTAGACAGTGCTCTGCGTTCCATCGCCTGCCATGCCAGTCCCTCGTGAAGTCCATTAAGGACCTCGGAGTCGACTGAGATGCCTCCTCCTCCTCCCCTCACTCCCCACACCACACCTCCAGGCCGAGCAGGAGCTTCGGAAATGGAAGGCGTACTTGAAAACTAACATTGCAGCCCAGCCCAGTCCGTTGTGAAGTACAGAAAGGACCCTAGAGTTAGCTCAAATGCCTCTTCCTCCTCCCCTCTCTCCCCACACCCCATGCATGCATTTCCCAGGCCAAGCAACAGCTTATGGACTGGAAGGCGTACTTGAAAACGGCCGTCACAGCGCAGCCCAGTCTGTTGTGAAGTCCATAAAGGACCTTGGAGTCAACCCAAATGCCACCGCCTCCTCCCTGTTCTCTTCTATGCGTGCATCTCCCCCAGGCCAACCAGGAGCTTCTGGACTGGAAGGCGTCCGTGGAAACGAACATTGCAGCCCAGACCGTTGTGAAGTCCATGAGGGTCGGGGATCAAACTTTCAAGAGGTGAGCCAGCAGCTGCTGTTTGTGTTTGTATATGCCAAGCCACCAGCATCGCCCTGTGGTTGTTGCCATTGGAAGATAGAGAACTTGTGAGCGTCTGAAAGGGTTACTTGGATGTCCCTTGTAGATACAGTCAATGTGAAGGCTGTCTCAGCCCCTTGTGGAAGTCCTTGAAGGCTGAGGATACCTCTATTGAGGGGTGAGCCTGCCAGCAGCTGTTGCTTGCTTCCGAGACGCTTCGGAATTGAACTAGCAAGCAAGACTGGCAGGAGCTGCTGTTTGTGTGTGGCATGCCATGCCATGCCACCATTGCCTTGTGGTTGTTGGAGGGTAGATAACTGGTGAGGGCCTGGCACAAAGCGTGAGGTAGAAGAAGGCTCCTTCCTTTTTTTCTCTGTTTAGCTGAAGTCAAAGAAATGAGCTTTGCTGTCTAGAAGGTCTGCGACACAGGTAGGCACATCAAGTTACAGTAAGGTGACTGTAGAGAGATGAAGAGAGGTGAGAGGTCACCTCGTGTTCGCCATTGTTGAAAAGAGCGACGCAATGGCGAACATGAGGTGACCTCTCACAATGAGCAGCACAATGGCGAACATGAGGTGACCTCTCACAATGAGCAGCACAATGGCGAACATGAGGTGACCTCTCACAATGAGCAGCTCAATGGAAGTAAGCTACCCATGTTCGCCATTGTTGAAAAGAGCAGCACAATGGAAGTAAGCTACCCATGTTCGCAACCTCTGTTGTGGCTCACAAGGAAAGAGAAAGAAGCGCCAGAATAACCCAGCATGATTCTCCCGCACCAGACTCCTACATGCCTGTAAGCCCTCCCTTCCATCCTTCCCCTACTCTGCAGTGTTCGTTTATCCCCTACTCTCCTAACCGCTACCTCCACCTCCCCTGATTTTCGTCAATTTCTCTCTGTCGATCACACAAACGGCTATCACTTTGCAGTTTTGAAAAGGCACTACAGGAGTATGGTGCGAGCCAGAATCAGGGGAAGCAATCCGACGCTTCCATCGTCAAAGTTTTCATGGCTGTGCCAGGTGGATCAAAAGTTGACTCTGATGATGTATGACATGATGAAGGAGGCTGGTGTGGTGCCTGACAGCACCACCTTCGACCTCATGCTCGCTTCAGTCTGCTACACCGGGGAGATTGACATGGTGCAGCAGGTATACTGGTATTTTACAAATTATAAAGAAGACACCAGATCATGCTCGTCCCAGCCTGCTACACTAGGGATATTTACACAGTGAAGCATGTATATTGGGTATGAGCGACGGCTGGAGAGGTGGTGTGAGATGCTGTGTGAGACACAGTGTGAGAGGCAGTGGGAAAGAAAGGCCAGCTAGCTACAATGTCAAGCAGGTAGAGTGCGGTCGAGTTGTGAACAGTGGAGAGTGAGAGCCTGTGAGTGGGAACACAGTGTGAGAGCAAGGGGAGGGAGCAATTCTGATTCCGAATAGGTTGCTGACCACATGCTAATTAGTGCAGCCGCCTTATGTGTGTAAGGTAGGCTGGATAGAGAGGGAGCATGAGAGGAGTGCCACCATGGCATGCTCCACCATGGCATGTGCCACCATGGCATGCTCCACCATGGCATGTGCCCCCATGGCATGCTCCACAATGGCATGTGCCACCATGGCATGTGCCACCATGGCATGTGCCGCCATGGCATGCTCCACCATGGCATGTGCCACCATCCCATTTGGCATTTTGCTTGCCACCCCCTTGCTCTTTTCTGCCTGCAGATGGTCGACAAGGTGAGAGCAGAAGGCTTTCAACTTCCCACCCGTCACTACAACGTGGTTTTTAGAGCTTGTGCTATCGGGCCAAAAATAAACGTAAGCCAAGTGATAACAATCGTGTTTTGAGACGTCTCACAGCAGCTGACTTCTAGATTTCCACCCATTACCATTACTACACTCTTTAGATCCTGTACTACTGGTCAAGAAATAAATGTGAGCCAATTTTGCATTTTCTTGCTTGCAATAACTTGCATTTTCCAATTTCCACTTCAGCCGCTGCTTAACTAACAGTATCCGTTGGAGTCGTTTCGTCTTTTGCAGGCTAAGCTGGCTTGGGAGCTTCACGCGATGATGGAAGTGGATGAGAGTGTCCGCCCCGATGCAGAGACCTTCAACCTCCTCATTGAAGCGAACCTCCAGGTATTGTTGCCATGCCCTATAATGGGGGTTATTTCCTCTTCCTTCATGTGCTAATCAATTCATAGTTCTCAATATGTTTCTCTTTGTGGGCTGAATAAGTGCGTGGCACTCTATCCAGCCATCGGCCGGCTGATGTTACACGAGCACAATGTTGATGACTATCAATCTCGCATGAACTTGCTACTTTGTTTGTGGAGGATGCTGACGGTCAGTTGTGCACAGCCATGAAGGATAAGAGCAATCGTGACCAATTTTGACAATCAGTTATGAATAGTCGTGACGGATCGTGACAAATCGTACGAATCATGATGGGCCATGATGCATGCACCAAGACGAGTGCAGTGCTCGCGGCAGCGAGAAAATGTACGTAGCCAGAGAGATTCAACAAGGTGACATTTGAGCCGACTCAAAAGTCACGATCAGCACAGTGCTCGTCCAGTTGTATTTTGAGTCGACTAAAAAAACAACTGGGCAGCACACGATTGTGCGTGGTTAGAGAGATTCAATTCAACAAGCACCTGTTTGCCAGAACTGTGCAGAGAGTGTCATCACAAAATTGCCATAAAATCTGTGTCATCCACTGGATGGCATGTCATGAGAAGCGTGTTACTACTAGTCGGTCCGACTCTCCCTTGCTTGCCCCCATGCTCCCCTACATTTCCCCCTATTCTTTGGTCCCCCTACACTCTGCCCTTATTCTGTGATCCCTGGTCCTTCCTCTTTGGTCCTTACCACCTGCAGGAAGGGGAGCACGAGGGGGCGTTGCGAGCGTACAAGTTGATGTCAGCGAATGGCTTTGCGCGCGACTTGATGCCGACAGCTTGGACCGAGCTCATTCACGCCGTGGCTGCCGTGCCCTCTGCCCCGGCTTATGTGGCTTACGGGGGGAGGATATGAAGACAGGGCTTTATCAAGAGGAATGTCAAATAGACTTGAATTGGGCCGAGCTCATTCACGCCGTGGCTGCCGTGCCGTCCGCCCCGGCTTATGTTGCTTATGGGGTGAGTGAGCATAAGAGGGGGCTTGGCTGGTTGCTTTTTCCTTTTTATTTTTATTTTTTTGCTGTTGAATCTATAATGCTTGAGATGCAATTCGTGCTAGCTACGGTAGCAATGCCAATTACGTAGAAGGTGTTGGAAGGAAACCGCTGGTTGGGCGGTTTCGTGCCCCCAACCCACCGTCTCTCGGTCCTTTGGGATTGGATGGGCTGAGAGGGTGGAGGGGGCGGCTGCTGGAGAGACATTGACCTCGCAGCTGGGTGCCACGTGGAGGCACCAGAATACAACCCCATGGACTGTGGAGGAATTCCGCTGAAGTCGGCCACCGAGCTGCACCGTACCAATTTGTTACACTCGGCGAATTCGCGACACGAGATGTCACGAATTCGATGTACATGCGCTGTTCGTTTTTTTTTTTTCTTGTTGTTATCTATTTGTGTGCTTGTATTCTTGTCAACATAGTGAATACTGGAATTGCTTGTACACGGTGCAGCTTCTTGAAATTCCAGAGAGCTCACGTTTGCTGACATCCTCATAGTCTCTAAGCCATTTCCAGCCATATCTCGGCCGTCTCTTAACCGTTTGGCGAGATCTTTGACTTGTTGGAAAGCTAGCTCTATCCTCTATCCCGTGACGTTGTATTAAGCAACTGAGATCAAGAGGATCGTGTCCTCTTTCAGAAGGAGCTGTAGGGATGTGCTGTTCACTTGTGACTCATGATCTGCCGCTGTCCCTCCTTGTCCGATACCTTCACGCCATTGACCTCTCTCTTCCGCCTGACTCCTGCTCCATTCCCTTCCCATACCTTCAGTTCGTTGACCTTTTCCAATACCTCCATCTTATTCACCGACTCCTGCCCCAGTCCCTTCCCATACCTTACCACCATCCTTCTCAAGCCCAGCATCACACTGTCTAAAACCGGTTGGTAAGAGGCAGATTACCTTTCGTCCTCCCTTTTGCTCACACTCTTCCACCAACTTCACATCATAATCTTTCGTCTTCCCCTCACGCACCTCTGTCCAACATTGCCACGATGCAATGAAAACGTGGGGGCCCGAGCCAGACGAGGACACATACCTTGGACTCATGGCAGCATGCTCGAAGACAATGATGCCGCACAGGCAAAAGCGCCTAAGAAGGAAATGGAGGGAAAGGGGGTGGAGGTGACTGCAGCGGTGTACCATGCTCTGTTGGGCATACAGCAGAAGGCAGGGTTGTGGGATGCTGCTGTGGAGACGGTGAAGGAAGTGCAGGGCAAGGCTATTCCCTGGACTGACATAAGACATCACCCACACACTCAGCTCGTTTTCTTTTGAAAAGCTGCCCTGCTCCGCTTGTCATCATCCAAACAAACGGGTCTAGGGGATTACGCGGAGCACATTCCCATTCCATCCGTGGTAACCTCTTCTCCCTTCCACACCCGCGCTGCCGAGTCTGCTCTGCAACACTGCTTTCCAGTCGACTGAAAGGCGGGTCTGACACACAATGGCTAAATTAACAGCATGTGGTGACTTACCTGCCTGTGTGTGCCCTCCTTGCTCACTCAATCCCTTACAACAGCCAACCGCTTTAACACTCCTACTCACATGTGTTATTCTTTCCACTTCAGTCGGACATGGCATCAAGTCTTGAGTTCTTGATGGAAGCCCTTGAAAATGGTCGTCCTGATGCAGACATCTTCAACTTGGCCATTCAAGCGAACATACAGGTGCTGCTGCCATGCGCCAAATTCCTTATTTTCCCTCCTTTACTTGCTTGCTGGTGTGTATTTTTTTTGTTTCAGTACATACTTCTCTGTGGAAGCGCCGGAGGGCACATATGTTTTGAAAGTGCTGGTGCTCCCCATCCATCCTCTATGTGCCCTTTCGCACCCTTAACCAGCATTAGACACTGACTAAGATGATTGTTGAGAATTCTCAGAAACTGAGATGGGCCTGCTCATTTGAGATGATTGTGTGTGGAATGGCGAGAAGTATTGGGGCTATCTGGCACCAAATGATTGTCACTTGGAGAGTGGCAATAAAAAAGTACATCACTTGTCGGATTTCTCTCCTTGTCTCCTGCACTCTCTGCAGGCTGGGCAGCACGAGGGGGCGTTGCGAGCGTACAAGCTGATGTCAGCGAATGGCTTTGCGCGTCACTTGACCCTGGCTTTTTGGAACGAGCTAATACAATGCGTGGCTGCCGTGCCCTCTGCACCTCCCTATGTGGCTTACGGGGTGAGGCTAATGAGGGAGGTTTGTTGAGAGGGATGTCCATTGGCTGCGTGCTTCTCCAACCTTAATCAGTGCTAGCAGGGGTGGGTGGGAGGGAACCTGGATACATCACGAAGCCACTTTGTGATGCCACTTTGTGATGCCACTTTGTGCTGCATGTGAAAGTTGTGAGCATGGCAAAGCCAACCGTTACGTGGCCTTTCAGGCCAAGTTACCCATCATTTCTGAGGCTACTTACAAGTCATTCGTTTCCCCTTCTGTTTTGGCAGTGTTACGATGGCATGCGTGGGCGTGGGGTCCGAAGCCAGACGCAGAAGGCTACAGATGGTCTTGCATTATTTCCATCTCCACGTCTCGACTTCCCTCCCCTTATGCTCTGGCAGTGTTATGATGGCATGGGGGCGTGGGGTCCCAGGCTAGACGAGGAAACCTACAGATGGCTCATGGCTGTATGCGCCAGGGACGGGGATGCAATGGGAGACATCGATGATCCTCAGCTCGTACGTTCGAGGTCGACGTAGTAGTCCCAAGCCAACCAAGTTCGCTCCTTTATTCTTCTTCAAAATATGCCCCCTTTACCCACTATGTGCGCTATGCTTCCCAAACCACGCTGTAAAGCTCTCAAATTCTCACCGTGCTTTCCCCCCAACTAAATCTTCTGTCCCAACCCATCTTTGCCTATCAATCCAAACCATACTCAGGTTTGGCAAGTCCGTGGGAAATAACAAAAGAACTGCAAACTTGGGAACCCATAGCTCTGGCTCACCACACCTCAAGACGTCTAGTCCTCCAGGCTCACCTCAGTCTCGCCCTTAGCCTTCCCTGCCAGACGAAGAACTACATTTCTCTGAATGTCTCCACAGCGGCCTCTCATGCCCCCCACTTTCCCTGTGCTTTCATGAGCGTGTGATACACCGCTGCAGTCGGATCCACCCCCTCTCCCTCCATCTCCCTCTTCAGTGCCAATGGAATGACGGTGGAAAGGGCGCAGTGGGAGTTGGCGAAGGTGGTCAGGCCAGAGGCGAGAACGGTGGACCAGATTCTGGAGCTGAACCGAACAGCCGCCGAGGTGCGCCTCACCGACCACCCAGCACAATACCCATGCAACCAGCCAGGAATGCCTAGGGAGGCGTGGCCCACATTGGTGGCCTAAGGCGCAGCAAACGGGTTCAAGATGGAAAGGAGGGGCGTCCCTGGCCCGGGCATGGTCTATGACCACGTGAAGAAGAGTTGAGAGGAGCCGACGGCGTTGGAGAGGGAGCTGACGATGGGGATGATGCCAAGAGCGACAGCAGTGGAAGGGCTGGAGGAGTGGATGAGGACCAGGGCTATAGGAAGGGCGATGGACATGCAGGCGGGCAGTTCCACACGATCCACGTGCAACTCACCATGCTGCAGATAGAAGCTGTGAAGAGCGGGCCGGTGCTAGAATTACCTAAGAAGGAGGGACCCTTCATTATGTACACCAACTAGAGCAGCGCCGGCATGGGGGCGGTCCTGAGTCAGAATGGAGAGGCAGGAGAGCGCGTAGTGGCATTTGCAAGCCGCTGCTGCAACCCGACAGAGGCTAATTACAGTTCCTATGAAGGAGAAGGCCTGGTGGCAGTGTGGGCGGTGCACCACTTCCGGGCGTACCTGCAAGGGAGACCGTTCAAGCTGGTGACTGACCACAAGCCACTGACATGGCTGATGACCAATCAGACCCTGTCCGGGCGGAAAGCGCGTTGGGCGATGCGGCTTCAGGAGTGCAAGTTCACAATACAGCACCGATCAGGAAGCACCCTGCAGCATGCGGATGGATTGTCAAGGAGTCCGCTCCCAGCTGAAGCAGTGGCTTGCCTGGTGGTGTTGGCACGAGAAGTGGAGAAGGTGGGGGCAGCACGCGGAGACAGAGGGCCGGACGATGTGTGGGGCGATGAGGATGCGCTGGGCTGGATAAAGGGGGAGACGGGAGAGGATAAAGCGGTGAGTGAGCGAGCGCGGAACAGGGGGCAACACTATTGGTGGTACGAAGAGCAGCTACAAGTGCGGACGCATGAGGGGTGGAAACTGGTACCTAGACCGGCAGAAAGAGAGGAGTTGGTGTCACGGGTGCACAAGAAGCTAGGGCATTGCGGGCATGAGAGGACATGGCACCTCGTGGCAGGCCAGTACTGGTGGGTCAGGATGCGCAAGCAAGTGAAGGAAATATTGAGGGCAACCTGTGGTCCCCAGCAGCAGCCTACCGCTGCTCGGGAAACCTCGTCTAGGCTTCAATCACTGCTTCTATCTCCCCAAAGGTGAGAGGGGTCTCCATGTCGGCTCCAAAGGCAAAGGCTTTCTCTGTGCAGAGGTTGACCTTACTATGCAGCATCATGGCCTGTTGCCTCTAGAGTGTGACCGCCCACCGCTGGCGGCAGGAGGCTGCCATTCTCTTAGCGAGCGCGGACTTTCTGTCCGTGTTGTGGTTGCGGGTGGCCGCCAGCCCTGCGAGGAGAGAGAGGAACTCGAGCGTGTCAGCCGAGCAGCACTTGTAGGTCTCTGTAGCCACCCCGAGGACGGTGACAAAGGTGAGAGACTCGTCGTAGAGGTCGCGTTTTTTCTTTTGGGCTTTGGCAGCGGCCCATCCGGTGCCTTTCCTCGCGTGTGGGTCGCGGGAGGAGATGGGGTCGGTGATGGTAACATCATAGACCCAGACCTGTCCCGAGTCGGGGTGGCGCAGTGTGATGTCTGCTCGCCGTTGGGAGGTTTCGAGGAGGTAGAGCGTGGATTCCTTGCGGGCAATCCAGCCGGCCTCCTTGGCTAGGCGCATGCCTAGGTTCACGAGGCTGTCGTGGGTCTGCGTGGGTCCCCCTCCCAAGGTACAATGCAGGAGGTGGTTGGGGAGGTGAGGGTCCTTCAGCTCCCTTTTGCCCCTGCAGTTGCATTGGCTGGGAATGGAGTGTTGCATTCCCATGCGAAAAGCCAGGGCGGTGGCGATGTGCCCTGGGCTGAGGCTGAGGTCCGGTGTGAATGGTATGGCCGCCAGCCAATCGCCGTTCCTGGTCCAAGGAGGGACAAGAGCCGCTGCGTGTGGCCGAGAAGGGGGTTGAGGGTGAGGTCCCTAGTCTCGGCCACCAGCCGCTCGCCCTGGACCTCGAGGGCCAGGGCGTGTCGGAGCTTGCTGGCCGGCTCGTTGCTCGGCCACAAGCTGAGGATCCACTTTGCGGGGTCAGGCAATTGGGCCTCCAGGCGGCTGAGGAGGGCGTGGAGGGGGTGTGACGTGGAGTAGGGGGAAGAGAGGAGGGGGCAGAGGAGGGCCAAGGGTGAGAGCGGCGTGAGGTGGAGGGAGGCGAGGAGGCTGGCTGCCGCAGTTGTTGAGGCGAGGTAACTGTACCCACCTTCAGCGAGGGGGTCCGTGAGCCCGAGTCCCCCTATCGTTATGGGCAGGGTTGCCTGCCGCCATAAGAGGTCCTTCTCCGCCGCTTGCCTGGGTTCGTGGAGGCCACAGGATGCCAGGGTGGTGGCGAGCAGGCGTTGTCCCCATGCCGTCCATTCTGCGTCGGGCAGGAGGTCGGGGGGTGTGGAGCGTAGCAGGAAGGCTGCCTTGCGCCCTACACACCTGGTCTAAAGGAGGAGTGCCAGCTGCGGGTGAAGTTGCGGGACCAGGGGGAGGGTGGCGGCAGCTTTCTCTAGCGCTTCGCGAAGGAAGGCCACACAGCCTGCGCGGTTTCCCACCGGGCTCCCTCAGATTCAGAGAGCCCCCACCATGAGGGGTACCCCCTCCGGCGCGTGCTGGAAGGCGGTCTTGCTTGTGGACCAGGCCCCGCACTTGGTGGGGTTGCACGCCAGGCCTGCTGCTGCGATGGAGTTGGTAAAGTGGTAGAACGCCGCCTCGCATTCTTCAGGTGGCCCCATGAGGGTCATATCGTCGGCATAGGCCAGGGTGAGTACTTGTGAAAGGCCTCTTCTGTGGCCACGAGGGCAGGGTGTAGGGTGATTGCGAATAGCAGTGGTCCCAGGGGGTCCCCCTGCCGTACTCCTCGCTCGCTGAGCAGCAGGGGGGAGCTGAACTCGTGGTCTAGGAACAGCGGTGCTGGGCTTCTGTAGGTGGTGAGCACGAGAGGGAGGAGCCCTGCAAGCGGGCTATTCCACAAGGCCTCCACCATGGCTTCGTGTTCCGCGAAGTTGAACGCGTTTGCCATGTCGACTTGGATTACTAGGTCGCCCGGGTTCGACTGGAGATGCGTGCGGGAGGTGGGAATCGCTACCTCCGTGCCGCCGGGGACGCACACGCCGAACTGCAGCGGCGTGAGGTAGGCTGCCGCTGCTGAGGAGGTGAGCGTGATCGCCGCCTTGTTGACGACGCGCAGCAGGCATTCGCCCACGGCTATTGGGCAGACGCCACCTCCTGGCTTGGTGAATGCCAGGAGGCGCGAGGAGGTAAGGAGTGTTGTCGCCTCTTCGGGAATGTTTTCAGAGAGCACCGTGTTTGTGAGCGCCGTTAGGTGGCTCATGATATCGGCGTTGGTCAGGTCTGCTTCCCTCAGATGTTCGAACGTGGTGCCTGACGGACCTGCCCCGACTCCGTTCGGGCTGTGTCGAAGTACCGCCCGCAGCTCCATGAATGAAATTTGCGGTAGTGGGTTTGCTGTCTGCGCCATGGCTCCTCTGGTGGGGGGCTGTTTGCGTAGGGCCCATGCGGGTAGGGCGTGTTCCGCTCGGGGGTGTTTCGCTCTGAGTGCAGCAAGCGTTTCAGTTGCTGGTTCGCCAACGAGGGTGGACTCCAGTGCCTGGAGTGCTTTGCGTAAGTTGCCCTGTTTCATCAGGGTTTCCGCCCTAGCGAGCCTGCCTATGGCGTCAGCTGCGTGTCGTGGGGCTGGGGGCAGCTGTGATGACGCCACTGCCTCTTCGTAGAGCTTGCGCCACTCGCCTGTCGCAAACCGGCGTAACCGGTGTAACATGCGTTTGACGTCGGGTGCTCTGGTGGACTGTGTGGCTAGTGTTAGGTGAGGCAGAAACATTAGCACGCGCCAGCCTGACACTGAGTCTCGATTCGCTGCCAGACGGAGCAGCGGTGTCAGCAGAGCAGACACGAAGGCTGTTAGTATTTCGCGGGGGAGTCACCACGCCAGAGGTGGCAGGCGACTGTCGCGAAGCTTGTCCAGGTCCCAGCTGGCAACGAACTCAAAGTGTTCGGTTTTGTTCGCGAGTTCCAGCTGGGACAATACTCTCCGAGCTGACGTTGACCGGGAGATTGCCGGGCCGTGTCGGGTGTTGGAGAATGCGGCTCGGTTTTGCTGAATGCCATCCCGCCTGTCTGCGCCTCGGGGTGGGGTTTCTTCCAATTATGAATCTCCCCCTCCCCCGGTACGCCTTCCTCGAATACCCCCATTTCGGGGGTATAAGTGGGGTCATTTCCGTCAATCAAATCATCGTCTGCTCCCTCCCTCCCTTCCAAGCCCCCGTCTGCGTCCCTCGTAGCAGTTGCTTGTATCGGTGTGACTGCTTCTCCTACTTGGGCATTTTTTGCTGCCTCCTCGTTGCCTCTGTGGTTCGAGTTTCCACCCTCCATGCCGTCCGTGTCGCTGCTTCCGATAGCCGTCTGTGCCGTCGCGTCCGATCCGTTAAGCTGCCGCAGGGCGGTCCGTTGGAGGCGCGCCGCTGTCGCGCGGAAGTTGTGACGCCCGCCCTGGACCGGTCCGCTGCGACCACCCCTCCGTCCTCCGCCGTGCCCCCAGTCTTGCCCCCTGCCGCGTTGGTTCGGCGCTTCCGCTGTTCTCCCGCGCCACTGCCCCCTTCCGCTTGCGGAGGTGCGTCCCATCGTCGCATCGTCATCACAGGGCGATGACGCAGGGGATGCTCCTATCCCCATCGCGCCGTCCTCGGCGGGAGGGGGATGGTTCCCCGTCGCCATTGGGCTCGCCCTCTGGCGTGTCGTCGGCGTTGTCGCCGACCTCGTCACTGCGCTGCGAGCTTCGCGCGCAGGGGTTGCAGGTTGCCGCCCTGACGCGGGCGATTTTGCTTCTGCAGCGCCCGTTGCCGCTGCTTCCAGTGGCGGCTGTCCCCTCACCGCTCCAGGGGTCCCCTCTGGCGGACGCGCGTATGGCATCGCCCAAGGGTCAGTCGCCTCCCTCTCCTGGCGATCCTTCACCCCCGCTTCCTCTGTTGCCCGTTCCGTTGCCTCCCCCTTCCCCGTGTGCTCCGTCGTTGCCTCCCCCTCCGCCTCCTCCTCCGCCTCCGCCTCCGCCCCCTCCGTCCCCGCCTGCGCCTCCTCAGCCGCCGCCAGTGGCACCACCAGCCACCAGCGCTTGTGGCGGGGCGGCGGGGCTTGACCGAACTCTGAATAGAGAAGAGAGGCCCTCGATCTGCAGCGACTTCAGACACGGCAGCTGTGAAATGGAAAAAGGAGCGGTTGATTCCTCCACCCATGGGTCATAGTTCATTGCAAGGCTGGTAAGACCTGACAGATGGACGAGATGTAAGAGATGGTGGTAGACGAGTTTCAGCGAGGTAATGCGGACGGTGGTGAGGGAAGAAAGGTCCGAAAAGCCGGGAGCGGTCAGCACTGAAGCGTCTGGGAGAAGGAGATTTTTCAGTCCCGAAAGCATGAAGAAAGAAGGAGGTAGTGCAACATCCGGATGAAGGCAGTAGAGAGAGAGATGCTCCAGTTGAGTGCACTGCAGAAACAGCTTTTCCAAGCCAGCTTCGGTCACAGGGTGTAGGTCCTTCCTATTGGAGTCTTCCGGATCCACTTTGATCTTGTTTCCCACGTGAAGAATCGTCAGATTCGGGCATGACGAGGCGAGGTGAGCGAGGAAGGCATCGTCGACGGTTTCCATGCTGCCGTCGCACAGATGGAGGTGGGTGAGATTCGGGAAGCACACGACGACATTGGAGAGATCTTGAAGAGAAACGGCGAGGTATTCCTTGACGAGAAGCGTCGAGACGTACCGCCGTGACAAACGGCGCCAACGACGGCAGACTGGCGCGGCGAAGAGATTAAGAGCCGCGTCCGTAAAGGTAGGAGGAGCTGGTACAAGGGCTTGTGTTCACTAGTTGAGTACTCAGGTTGAGCCTTCGTCCAAAAATACTTTTCCGTCGAACAAAGTGAGTCGCTTGAAGGAGCATCGCATGTAATGTCGCCTGTAGCGTCGTCGCCGGATTTTACTAACGCAGGTTTCTTGGAGGTGTGCCATAGGATCCTAATAAGTAGGTCGTCAGACAGCCTGTTGATGTGCGCGCGAGACTCCATGTCTATACTCGAGCGGCAACAACATTCGTGACGAACTTCCTCGTGACCCCGCGTAGTGAGCCTTGTCACCCGCTTTCTTCACACATGAGAGGACGATTTTCTTGGACCAAAACTCTACTACTCCATGGTAACAGCTTGCTGACTAATTCCTGAAGGTGATATCATTCTACTTCTCCCAGAAGGTGCTGAGGTTGGTAGCTACTTGAAGTGATGTTATGACGAACAACTGCGGTAATCTCGAGAAAGCTGTGGTCCCTGACCTGAGCTAACTGCCTGCCAAGGATGTAATCTCGAGGGAGAAAGCTGTGGGTGGGCCTGGTTTGTGTTGGGAGAGGGGAGGCCGTCAGTCAGCAACCAGAAAACGTTCAAGGTGAGTGATGTCTGTCCGTCTAGCTCCCGCTGAAAGCAGCGGGAGTTGTTTGTGGCACGCTATGTTGAAGTCAATCATGAGTTTAGCAAGGCGCGTTGCCTGGTCGCGCGTCTCACGATTTCAAACCCGCAAAAGGTGACGTCAGACATGAGGAAGCCCTGTGGTCGCGAACGTGCCAAGAATGGATTTGAGCCCTGCTTATGACGAGTAACATTGTGTCTAGCCACTAGCTTGTGGTTTACACACGATAAGATCCATGACTAAAATGAAAACAGGAAACAAAGAGACCCAATGAGAATGAGAAGACCTTTGCGTACATCTTCAGTGGAGGATAATATGCACCTAAGCTAGGTACCTACATCACAAATGCTGCCATACCACTTACAATGGTTGGTCCATCACGTAAATGACATCCCTTAGCAGTTACATATTTGGTTATGCGTGGAGTGACTATCGGTATTAATCTTCACTTTAAATGCGAGGTGGTTCATTTATGCGTTCAAACATTGGCATAGTCGCCAACGCGAAGGCCCACCACCATCCAGCATCCCTTGAATGCTCCCTCCAACACCTGGCGCAGGGAAGACAACACGGGAGAGAGGGTGGGTGGGCTTTTGAGATGTGTCGAAACCACCATCCAGCACTCCTTGAATGCTCCCTCCAACACCTGGCGCAGGGAAGACGACACGGGAGAGAGGGTGGATGGGCTTTTGAGATGTGTCGAAACCACCATCCAGCACTCCTTGAATGCTCCCTCCAACACCTGGCGCAGGGAAGACGACACGGGAGAGAGGGTGGATGGGCTTTTGAGATGTGTCGAAACCACCATCCAGCACTCCTTGAATGCTACCTCCAATACTGGGTGCAAAGACGATGGGAGGGGAGACAGATGGGGGAGGATATGGAAGAGGGGGGTGGGGGGGGAATGGAAATGTGACAGTACAGCAGGAGAAGGGGGGGGGGGGGGGTATGGAAGAGCACAGTGCATAGGGGGTCATGTGACAGTAACGAAGGAGAATGAGTAGTGCATCCAAAAGCCCAAACGAGTGCGACATTCACACAACACATGAGTTTACAGTAATCAAGCCTTCCCATAGCCCACCTTTTGCAAGCAGAACGTGTAGGTGCATTCCCTTGTCCGCCCAAACAAGTGCTTGGAGTCGCACCAAAGCCTACACAGATGCACAGCACTCAAGCCTCCCCATAGCCCACCTTCTGCTAGCAGAACGTGTAGGTGTACACTCCTGTCCGCCCAAACAGGTCGGCACCATCAGCAACACCGCCACTCCCATCCTTACTGGCCTTGCCCACAGACTCAGCAGCAGCAGCAGCAGCGGGGCGAAGTGGGAGCGGGGGGGGTGGGTGTAGCTCGGACCTTGACAAAAGCTCACCTTTTGCAAGCAGAAGTTGTACGTGTACTCTCTTGTCCGCCCAAACAAGTCCACACTATTAGCAGCACCGCCACTCCCGTCTTTACTGGCCTTGCCCGCAGACTCAGCGGGAAGTGGGAGCGGGGGGGGTGGGTGTAGCTCGGACCTTGACAAAAGCTCACCTTTTGCAAGCAGAAGGTGTAGGTGTACTCTCTTGTCCGCCCAAACAAGTCCGCATCAGCAGCACCGCCACTCCCGTCCTTACTGGCCTCGCCTGCAGACTCAGCAGCAGCAGCAGCGGCGGGCGAAGTGGGGGCGAGGGCAGTGGGTGCTGCTCGGACCTTGACTGCCTGCAATGCCTTGCTGTCGTTCTTGCCGTGGAACGCCATGGGGGAGGCGAACTGCAGCAACAGCATGGGATTGGGAGAGGCAGGGAGCAAGGTAAGACACATCAAATGGTAAACCTCTGCTGCTCGGACCTTGACTGCCTGCAGTGCCTTGCTGTCGTTCTTGCCATGAAACGCCATGGGGGATGCGAACTGCCTTGGCATAGTGTGCAGCAAGAGAACAAGACAAGGGAGTGGTGGATGAGAGCACGGGACCAGGATATATGAGCAGAGAGTGAGGATTTTGCAGCTCGGACCTTGACTGCCTGCAGTGCCTTGCTGTCGACATGCCGTGGAATGTCACGGGGGATGCGAACAGCAAGCATGCATGGCCATGGGATAGCATGCTGCAACAGCATGGGAGTGCGAGAGATAGGGGGTGGTTGGGAGCATGTGAATCACACGAAACGGATGGTAAGGTGGTGCAGGTCAGGCCTTGACCACCCTCAGCCCTCAATGGCAATACCCCCCCCCCCATACCCATCCTCTCTTCACTCCCCAATATGCCTCGCCTCCCACGCCTCGCAGTGCAGCAGAGCAGCGCACATGGGCTCCCTCAGCAGCACCTTAAAGCCCCCCACTGACAGGTACCGTTCACACGCACTTTCTTCCCCTCGCCTTCACCCCAATTCCCCCCTCGCTCTCCTCTCACCTCCCACGCCTCGCAGTGCAGCAGGGCAGCGTACATGGGCTCCCTCAGCAGCGCCTTCAATCCTTCCTTCAGCTGAGAGATGAAGATCACAGGCAACCCCCCCCCCCCAGTCCCCCTCTTGACCCCTTCCCTCTCCCTCACCTCCCACGCCTCGCAGTGCAGCAGGGCAGCGTACATGGGCTCCCGCAGCAGCTTCTTGAATCCCTCCACAGAGAGATACCGCTCGCTGGCGTCCCATGCTCGCGCCTCCTTCACTGGAGGCCGGGCCTGGAGAATGTATGAGAGAGAGGGTCAGAGATGAGAGGGAGCCAACGAGAGAACTTCTTGAATCCCTCCACTGACAGGTACCGTTCACTGGCGTCCCATGCCCGGGCCTCCTTCACTGGGGGCCGGGCCTGGTTGGCATGGGAGGGGTGGTTATGGAAAAACGATGGGAGGGGTGGTCATGGGAAAACGATGGGAGGGAAGCCTCTTCGATTCATCCAACGAGAGACAGCGTGCTGCAGCGTCCCACGCCCGTGCCTCCTTCTCTGGCGGATGGGCCTGGTTGTTATGGGAGGGTTGTTGAGGGGGAACGGATCTCGAAAGAAGGCCCTTGACTTCATCGAGAGAAAGAGGGAGGGGGAAAGGGGATGAGACGGAGCTTCCTTGATGAATTCACCAAGGAAGCAAGCAGCGCGGGGGTGGGGGGGTGGGGGGGGAGCAGCTGTCTGGGTCATCACGGAATTGGCTGTAAAACAGACAAGAATCTCACCCTGCCAGGCGGGTTCTCATCCACTCTGTGCGGCTTCGCGAAGACGAATGCTGTCTGGACTCTGGACACCGCTATCGGCTCCGAGCTAGTTCTGAACTCTGAGCAAACTAACGACTCACCGATCCTGGCAGGATCTCGTCCACTCTATGCGGCATGGCGAACTTGAGCGCCGTCTGCACGTCGCTGTCAGCCTCAGGCCAGTCCTTGCGCGCCCTTCTGCGCACCCATCTCCGTGCGCACCACCACTGCGCGCGGAAGCGGCTCTGTAGCGCAAGACTCTCTAGAATAGGTTAGACTCTCACCGATTCTGGCAGAATCTCGTCCACTCTATGCGGCATGGCGAAATTAAACGCCGTCTGCACGCCGCTGTCTCTCTCAGTCCAGTTGTTAACTCTGAGAAAACTAACGACTCACCTTGCCAGGCAGAATCTCGTCCACTCTGTGCGGCATGGCGAAGTTGAACGCCGTCTGCACGCAACTGTCCGCCTCAGGCCAGTCGTTAACTCAGAGCAAACTAACAACTCACCTTGCCAGCCAGTATTTCGTCCACTCTGTACGGCATGGTCAAGATGAATGCCGTCTGGACTCTGGACACCACTATCGGCTCCGGGCCAGTCATGAACTCTGAGCAAACTGATGTCTCACCGATCCAGGCAGGATCTCGTCCACTCTGTGCGGCATGGCGAAGTTGAACGCCGTCTGCACGCCGCTGTCCGCCTCGGGCCAGTCGTTGCGCATCAGCGCGTCCATCTGCGCGCGCACCACCGCGGTGGGCGGAAGCAGCGCCGTGGGGTTTCTGTCCGCCAGCGGCCATTGCTGCTGCGTCTCCGACACGAAGCGGAGAAACTCCGCCGTTAGCTCGTCGGCTTCGTTGTCGGTTGGAGCGGGAGAGTCATTATCTGGAGGGGAAGGCATGGAAGGAGAGGCTTCGGACTGGACTCGACTCCGAAGCAGCGCCGTGGGGTGCCGGTCCGCGAGCGGCCACCGCTGTTAGCTCGTCGGCTTCATGGTCGGTTGGAGCGGGAGAATCATTATCTGGAGGGGAAGGAAGGGGAAGGAAGGGGAAGGAAAGGGAAGGAAGGGAAGACTTTGGACTCAACTCCGAAGCAGCGCCGTGGGGTGCCGGCCAGTCCGCGAGCGGCCACTGCTGCTGCGTCTCCGACACGAAGCGGAGGAACTCCGCTGTTGGCTCGTCCGCTTCATTGTCCGCTGGAGAGTCGTAATCTGGAGAGATGGGGGGGGAGTCGGAGAGACTTCCGTGAGACTGACTGCTAGCTGAACCAGGCGGATGATCGCTGGACGAATCAGGAGAGGTGGGAGCCTAGGATCGCGACAAAATGTTAATGTAACGCATTTGAAGGGTTCGTAGTGGACTAATATGTGACGGGTGAAGGGATAGCTCCAGTTCGCTAACCAACTGGGATAAAAGGGCATGTTTGTATGGTGGGTCAGCGCACCCACACACCCCCAGGACGACACGTGTAGCCCTTCAGGGGGACCCCTCTGGGTCATCTCAGTGCCCCCTTCCAACAACGGGTTTGTACCAGGTGAGGAGGACTCGTCACTCGAAGCGGCGGCAGCGGACAGCCGTGCGAACCGTCGCTGACGTCTAAGATTCGACGGCGCGTCGCTGGATTCTCTTCTCGGTGCTGACTGTAACGAGGTTGACCACGAAGACAATGGAGTTGATGCCCATTGGCCGGCCGTGGTCGGCTGACGTGCCGCAGACAGCGAGGCGTGAGGTCCTTGGGACGACACGCATTGTAGCGACACGTGGAGGCGACAGGCGGCCATTGGGAGGCTAAAGAAAGTACGCCTAAGCGGCTGCTTCACTCAAAAGGCCAGCACGTTGCACGGGAATTCAAACCGTATTTAGGGGGAAAGACCGCGCAATCCCTACAACTAGCCGATACTGGTCTTCGTAGAGACTACAACCAGCTCGTGTCGGCGGTGGTGACGCCTGAAGAATGATGTGCCTCAACAGCAGTGCAAATGCCCCCTCCAAATTCTCTGGGAAGAAAGTAGTCGAGTGATTGTTCTGGTGAGCGTCCCTAGGGAGTACACACAAGGCATGTTCCAGAAACTTTCGGCCGTCCGATCAAGGGAGATCCGACGCCGCTGGAAATACGGCCAGATGCGCGCACTTGGGAGTTTTGCCTGCGTGTGCTTTTGCCAAGGGCTGCAGGGATGGGAAATGTTATCAAGAGGAATCCTCTTGTATGGCGGATACCTTAGACTTAAGATTCGATAACGTAAACGCCCCCATTAGACCTTTTTGCACAAGAATTCCTTAAATCTTGTTGGAAAGAATAATCATACGCATGCCTCGCATCGCATTCATCCACCATATTGTGCTGGTAAAATGCCATACTTACCAAGCTTTACCACCGTGGATGCGCCACCAGGCAAGCACAGATGGCGTGCAAGCGTAAATTGGCAGTAGTCTGAGTCATAATCTCGATCGAGAACCAGCCGCACATGTGGTGTTACCTTCCAGCTCTCCCCTAAAGCCGGCTTGAATGTGCCATCTTCACTAGACACTGAATGGTTGGTGATCTGATAGTGGGAGGGAGAGCAACCGGAAGAGAAAAGATGCGGAAGAGAAAAGATGTAAAAGAGAAAGGAATGGTCTGTACTTGTCTGTAGCTTATCATGCTACATGTAGGGGCTAAGGCCTATAAAGGTGCATTCTAGACTCGCTTGCACACAACTGAGCTATAAAGTACCTAATGTAGTCATTGACACTATTGCTTACCAGCACAGCAACCCCGAACTCGTTGGCCAGCGATCGGATCATGCGACTCAGACTCATCATCAGCGCGTGGCCTGAGGGGTCAGGAAACAAGAAGACAGAAAGAGGGAAGTAAGCCGAGAGGGAAGGGACAGAACATGGGAGAACATTAAAAAAAAAAAAAAAAGGAGAAAAAAAACCTGTGTTTCATGTCCTTAACTAGCAGCTGCACCTTCCCTCCTCTTCACAGGGAAGGGAACAGCAGAGGCAGAGTCGACGATCTTGCACCTTACATCCAATGCAACCCTCACAACATGCACCCATCGCACCTTGCACCCCTCGCACCTTGCACCCCTCGCACCTTGCACTCCTCACACCTTGCATATCAGTACCTTGAGGGCCGTGCCCCCAAAGCACGGGGGGGACAACAGCAGAGGCAGAGTCAGAGATGAGCCCTTACGCCTTACATCTGATGCAGCCCTCACAGCATGAAGCCCTCACACCTTGCATATCAGTACCTTGAGGCCCATGCCCCCCAAGCACGGGGGAGACAACAGCAGAGGCAGAGTCAATGATGAGCAGGCGAAGCACAGAGAAGAAATCCGCCGACTGGGAAAGAGACCGGTGGGGGGAAAACGCAGGGGAAGGAGAGGAGCAGAGTCAATGATGAGCAGGAGAAGCACAGAGAAGAAATCCGCCGACTGGGAAAGAGACCGCGGGAGGAATTCTTGGGAGGAAAACGCCGAAGGAGGTGGTGAAATGGGGGAAAAAGAGCGTTTGGGGACACGAAACGACCGCTGCAGCAGCAGAATCAACGGCTGAGAATGAGTGGGTTATCCGAAGAGCACGTGATGTGAACAACGTCGATGATCCGCCTACCCACCCATGCGCTCTTGTGCTTTGTGCGGCCCTCACCTGTGTGGCTTGTCTCTTGTGCTGTGCAATAGTCGCCAGGAGGGAGAGCAGGGAATGGATGTCATATGCTTTCATCCGTACCACCGCTTTCAGGGCTCGAGTCACTGTTGCCCTTGATTCCTGTGAAATGAGGGAGAGAGATAGTGAGGGAGATATATGGAAAAAGCAGTGATGATAAGGCAATGAGTGAAGTAAATGCCATAAGCGCCATGCCCACCTGACATGCTCATCATCATAGTTCTGAGGCGCCTCAAAACATGCCCACCTGACATGCTCATCATCATACCCTCCCATGTCGCCATCATCTTCCCAATACCAGTGCGGATCCACACAGCAGAGATACTTTAAACCCACAACCCTCCCCCCTTCAATCCCACGTGGCATCACTCCCCAGTCCCCGTGATTCACCCAATGACGATGGCAATGCGGGCAGCAGACAGGCTCCTGGCTGTGTCAGTATACCCCTGACGATGGCAATGACGAATCTAATGCGTTCTGTATACCCCTGACGATGGCAATGACGAATCTAATGCGTTCTGTATACCCCTGACGATGGCAATGACGAATCTAATGCGTTCTGTATACCCCTGACGATGGCAATGACGAATCTAATGCGTTCTGTATACCCCTGACGATGGCAATGACGAATCTAATGCGTTCTGTATACCCCTGACTCCCTCCCTCCACACTCACCTGACACCTCTCTCTCTCTCTCGTTTCCCTCTGATTCGCCCAATGACAGTGGCGGTGCAGGCAGCAGAAAACAGCCATTCTTCACTGTTTGTATACCGCCACCCTCCCATGCTCACCTAGCAAGCACCTCACTCTTACCCCCCTTCATCCGTCTAATGACAGAGGCAATGCATGCAGCAGAGAAGCTACCAGCTGAGTCAATGGATCGATGGGGATGCGCACTGTATGCCCACCAACACCCCCACAACCGTTCCATACTCACCTGGCACCGCTCTCTAGACCCCATCATCCGTCCAATGACAGTGGCGATACGCGCAGCAGAGAAGCTGCCAGCCGTGTCAACAAACGCCACTGTTGAACCTGTGCTGGGCGGCGCACTGCCTCTGGGTTGAGGGGCCGAACTGCTGTGAGAGGCTGATGCGTGCTGAGGTGGAGGGATGTCAGTGGCTTGAGAGAGCAGCGGGGAGATTGCAGCTACTGCTGCTGCTTGCAGGCAGAACTGGTTGGGGGGAACGAACGGGAGTGGAGGGAGAGGGAAGGACGTGATGAGGGTGGAGAGAAAGGGGGAAGAGCCGGATTTGCGGTGAGAGAGGGGCGCTGTCACTGGCTTCATGACAGCAGCGCGGAGATTGCAGCTACTGCCGCTGCTTGCAGGCAGAACTAGTTGGGGGGGAGAAGGGAGAGGAAGGGGGAGAGGTAGGCGGGGGGGAAGGGAGCGGAAAAGAGGTGATCTGTGGTGGGAGAGAGGGGGAGGGATGTCAGTGGCTGAGACAGCAGTGGCGAGATTGCAGCTACTGCTGCTGCTTGCAGGCAGAACTGGTTGAGAGGGGGAGGGGAGAGGAAAGGGGAGAGGTAGGCGGGGGGAAAGGGAACAGAAAAGAGGTGATTTGTGGTGGGAGAGAGGGGGAGGGATGTCAGTGCCTTTGAGACAGCAGCGGGGAGATTGCAGCTACTGCTGCCGCTTGCAGGCAGAACTGGTTGGGGGGGAGAAGGGGAGTGGAGGGAGAGGGAAGGAGGAGATGCTGGGTGGGAGAAAAGTTGCTAGAGGCACGTTTGTGCTGGAAAGAAGAGCTGTGAGGGGCTAGGGTTGGGAGAGCAGTGGGGAGACTGCAGCTATCGCTGCTGCTGCTGCTGCTTGCAGGCAGAACTGGTTGGGCTGGAGAGACGGATGATGAGAGAACAGAACTGGTAGGGGGGGGTTACATGATTAGAGGTGGTGCACAAACGAAACGGGAGAGCATATGAGAGGGGGGGAGCAGGTGATTTTTTAGTCGACTCAAAAATCACCAACGGGAGAGAGAGCACATGAGAGGGGGGGAGAAGGGAAAAAAGGGAGATACAGAGCGAAGGCCCCAAGTCTAATCCGCCTATGATCACTACCCTCTACCCCCACCCGCTCTTAAACTCTCGCTCTTACACACCCTCCCCTGTCATTCCGTCTGCTTGCCCCAGCTTAGCACTTGAAGCAGCCCTGCTCTTGCAACTATCCCCCTTTCTACCCTGCTCTTCCCACCTGAGCAGTTGCCCTTCCCACCTGAGCAGTTGCCCTTCCCACCTGAGCAGTTGCCCTTCCCACCTGAGCAGTTGCCCTTCCCACCTGAGCAGTTGCCCTTCCCACCTGAGCAGTTGCCCTTCCCACCTGAGCAGTTGCCCTTCCCACCTGAGCAGTTGCCCTTCCCACCTGAGCAGTTGCCCTTCCCACCTGAGCAGTTGCCCTTCCCACCTGAGCAGTTGCCCTTCCCACCTGAGCAGTTGCCCTTCCCACCTGAGCAGTTGCCCTTCCCACCTGAGCAGTTGCCCTTCCCACCTGAGCAGTTGCCCTTCCCACCTGAGCAGTTGCCCTTCCCACCTGAGCAGTTGCCCTTCCCACCTGAGCAGTTGCCCTTCCCACCTGAGCAGTTGCCCTTCCCACCTGAGCAGTTGCCCTTCCCACCTGAGCAGTTGCCCTTCCCACCTGAGCAGTTGCCCTCCCCACCTGAGCAGTTGCCCTTCCCACCTGAGCAGTTGCCTCTTCTCTTGAATACCCCATCTCTTCTCTTCGGCCGTCTCTACCCACCTGTGTCTTGCCCACCAGCAGCGCCAGTGACCTCAGCGACTGCTGCCAGGGGCAGGCCTCCAATCATCGAAGCTGTCCCTTCTCCCACCTAAATATCATCCCCCCCCCCTCTCTCCTCTCCCTCTGCCCTCTTCTCTTTATGGTTATTCCATCTCCCCCCCCCTCCCTCTGCCCTCTACTTCTGCCCTCCACCCTCTCCCAGCATCCATTAGCCCCACCTGAGTCTTGCCAGCACCAGCAGCGCCAGTGACCTCTGTGACTGCTGCCAGGGGCAGGCCTCCCCCTAGCAAGGAGTCAATGCTGGATGGGGGGGGAGAAAGAAGGGTGTGGGGGGATTGAGTGGACATGTGAAGGCTGGGGACAGAAGGATGGCTTCAGCACCAGCAGCGCCAGTGACCTCTGTGACTGTTGCCAGGGGCATGCCTCCCCCTAGCAAGGAGTCAAGGCTGGATTGGAAGCAAGCGGGAGGGAATTTGGCAGGAACTAGCAGGAGATTTAAGATACGGTACTTTTCTCTCGTCAACTCTGGGACGGTTGGAGGGTGAACTGCATTCGGTGCTGAGGACGCAGTAATGTACGTGTGTATGCTGCTTGTAAAGAAATAGCATTTCGTACGTGTACTATTTCTTAACAGGGAGCATGCACCCACCATGTCCCACACGCCATGCACCGTACCACACACACAGCACCATGATCTCACCTCGAGCACCCAGTGCTGATGGTCGCATGTTTCCACTGCCTCCTCTCAACATCGTCCTCTTGCCATTGCTCTTGCCCCTCCTGCTGCTGATACTGCTGTTGCAGTTGCTCCCCCTTGCACTGCCATTTCTCCTCCTCTTCCCCCGTCTGCGCTTGTCTCTGCTGCCCATAAGGGTCCTCTTGGTTTAGGCCCTCGCTGTTGTCTCTGTTGTCACCATACGGCCCCTCCCTGTAGATGTCCCTCAAGAGCTGGTCCCCACTGGCATGTGCTGGCATGCACATGGCATGCACCATGTGATGATGTAGCTGGTCTATGGCCTGTCATGCAACGATCCATCCAAGAGCACACATGCACAAGCATGAATCCAAACATGTATGGATGGACGAATCCGAATTATCATGCAAATCCAATGGCATCATAAAGCCACCCACGGATAATCCACGTAGCGGATGGAGTTATACGCGCTATCACGCCGTCACAACCACTATGTCAGGCTCATGATGCATGCATGATGCACCCATAAACGCATGCCACGTGACCGAGGCATGCATCTCATGCATGCGTGCCAGCGCTTCTAGCATGGTCCTGTAAGGCATCCTCCTTTGCAGTGAGCCATGCCATTCAGGTCCCTCCGAAAGTGACTAACAAGCTAACTTCAAGGTCAACTTGCTTGCCCTGTCAGTCAACATCACCATCACCATCATCATTAGATAGGTCATGACTTATCACCATTTTGGCATCGCCATCACCATCACCATCAGCATCATCAATGATTCATCATCATCACTCAAAGCTCACCGTGCCGTATATATCACCATCACACCATCACCAAAATCACGCGATCATCACCTGTAAGGCATCTTCCCTAGCCCTGCCATGCATGCGCCATGCCCTCCACGTCCCCGTGGGTGTATGATCCATGCACGAATGCATGCATGCAAGGCAAGACAGGGATAAATAAATACCTGTGAAACATCCTCCTTCGCGCTGCCACTGGCATGCGGCATGCCCTCCACGTCCCTCCGAAGCATGTGACCATCTGGCATGTTGAAATCCTCGACTGTAGGGCATCACCCACCATGCATGCATGCATGCACGCGAATTAAGAAAGAATTATCACCTGCAGTGCGTCATCCCTAGCCCTGCCATGCGCCATGCCCTCCACGTCCCTCCGCAGCATGCGACCATCCGCCATGACGAAATCCTCCACTGCAGGGCATCACCCACCCACGCACCATGCATGCATGCATGCATCGTCCACAGAATGATTCATGCATGCGGAAGTAACACCAAGCATGCGACCATCCGCCATGATAAAATCCTCCACTGAAGCACCACCCACCATGCATGCATGCATGCGTGCGAGCACATAATCATGCATGCATACAGAAGGAGCAGCACGCATGTGACCATCCGCCATGCATGCACGATGGGCGCACGCATTGAGGCATTCATGCAGGCAGAAAGAAGCACGCAGGGCAATGACAAACCACGCATACCCAAGCAAGATGCATCCGGAATCCAGGAGTCTATTTGTGAGGCGCCTCAAAAAAAGAAGCGTAACAGGAGAGGGAAATGGATGGGCGGAAGGAGAGAAAGGCCAGCGGGGAAGGGAAAGGGGGGAATAGGGCAGGGAGCAGCCTACGAGTGGCTATGCGGTGAGATAGAAGGATTTGCAGTGCGCTTTTGAGGCATCTCAAACGGAGGGGGGTCTAAAGCGATGCGGAGAGGAATAAAGGCAAGTGGGAATGGGAAAGTGAGAAGCCTACGAGTGGCTATGTGGTGCGATCGAAGGTTGAGGCGTCTCTAATGAAGGGGGGTCTAAAGAGATGCGGAGAGGAATGAAAGCAAGTGGGAATAGGAAAGCGAGAAGCCTACGGGTGGCTATGCGGTGCGACCGAAGGATCTGCATGGCGTCCGGCGATATGGCGAAGGGGAGGTGCGACAACGGCGGCATCGTGATTATGATGTCGCTCGCACACGCACAGCGGAAGGTCCGCAAAGTCAGGGTATATAAGTCGTATTCGAGACGTCTCAAAGCACGTGACTATGATGTTGCTCACACGCACACCGGAGGGTCCGCAACGTCAGCGAATCCAGGAGGCAGTGAAATCGCTGGCGACTACTGGCCGTCAGTGACGCAACCCAACCCAACGCACTGCAACTAGTGGAGAGTTTATTGTGAACGTTTCACGCGCGTTCACGGCCGGCTATTCGAGCTCGACCAACTGATGCACTTTCGACCGTTGGAGTCCAGTGCACCTACTTAGCGGCCGTCTATTTTGGCGGCGTGGCCTAGTTGCAGTCTAGAAGACTAGCATTTTTCAAACCAGAGTGACAGTCAGCGTCAGCGGTAAGCTAGCAACGATACAAGGCAGTATCTACAGTTCACCCTGGTGCGGTTCAGTACGGTACACCTGTCCTCCGCCATTTTCTCAGTTCGCTGTTCACAAACTGTAGCTTGTCGTTAGTGGGGGGTCGAGAAATTAGCGCCAACAGGGTGGTCTGCGCTAATTTCTCAAAGGGCCAGCGCGCGAAATATGTGCTGACTCACGGGCGCGAAAATGGAGGCACAGTCAGCACGGACAGAGAATCACGACAATCACATGGTATGCTAAACAATGGACATAAATAAGAAACGTTAGAAACACCTATGAAGTCAGCATATTACACATTATTAACCTACATAACACTACGCAACTCCAACTAGAAACACTAGCAACTAAGGGACCGGGGAAGCAAGAACATCCAAAACGAGCGACTCAGAGGCTCAAACCAGCACGGACCCACTGGAGTAGGTCAGGATCTGGATGGCTAGACGACAACGCCTTGGGATTGCGGGAGAGAGCGGGCATGAAAAAATGGGCTAGGCTGTCAAACATGTGTATTTGTTATGTTTGCATAGACTGTATAGGGTCACCTCTTAGAGGGTACAATACTTAGGTATATCTATCTGTACTCTCCCACTACTCAACTATTCTTCTCTCTCATTCTGATACAGGCTACTCTCGGCGGCCAAGTCACCAAGTCGTGCAACCGCCGCGCGGCGGCACTCTGGAGCATCAACAACCTCTACAGGGGGCGCATCATTGAGGTCTATGTCGACGCCACGGCACGGAGGGCTCGGAGGGCCCGGATACCATCGACCTATGCTTTCGGCATGAGACATTGGTTGGCCAACGGAGAACACGGGTAGAGCATCATCGAATGTCACAAACTCTCGCGCAGTCATGGCCGGCCCATCAAGCCTCAACCGACCAATCAAGCGGGTCAACGAGGTAACATCTTCCGTAGGGGAATCCCAACAAGGCCCCTCAAAAATACGGTCAAGGCCCCAAGCCGCAAGCCATGATGCAGGAACTATCCCCGCACGCCTCCAGCAACGTCTTACAATGAGCGGATCCATCTGCATCCACACCCCACTCACCCAAATGATAGCCGTGCGTATATCAGGCCTTGTGGACTTCTTCTTCTCGACAGGGTCCTCGGCGACACCATCCTCCGTTGGAACACCCAACTCGCCACTGTCTCCAAGCGTTGCGGCTAAGCCTTCTAGCGCCCTCTGCCTAGCCGAAGACCGACGCCCCCTCCTCCTTGCAGTTGATGTGCGGACAGTCGAACCCACCGAGGGTGCGACCCCACTCCCTATAGCCGTATTCCCAACGCCCATTGCCGAATTCCCGCCTCCCATTGCCGCATTCCCGCCGCCCATAGCCGCATTCCCGAAGCCCATAGCCGCATTCCCGCCGCCCATAGCCGCATTCCCGCCTCCCATTGCCGCATTCCCGCCGCCCATAGCCGCATTCCCGAAGCCCATAGCCGCATTCCCGCCGCCCATAGCCGCATTCCCGCCTCCCATTGCTGCATTCCCGCCGCCCATAGCCGCATTCCCGCCGCCCCTAGCCACATTCTCATCGCCCATGTCCTGGTTGTTGGTTCCTTCACTATCCCTCCCAATCCTTATCTCGCACGTATCAAACTCTTTGATGAGCCAGTCAACCAAGAGCTTCCGGTACCTTAGCTTGAGCGTCGAAATAACCCCCTGGTCCAGCGGCTGAACGTGAGATGTGCAGTTGGGAGGGAGGTAGATGACGCGAACGTAGGGGATGTCGACGATCTTGATTCCCCTGAACTCGTGCTCCATGATGTCCTCTATCGGACGTCCAACCTTGTGCGCACTGGCGTTGTCAACGAGGAGCACGACCCGTCGGCGTTGCCACTGCATCCTTCCGCTAAAGCTGTCCAGCCATTGTGAAAAAACCTGAAACACATGAGTGGAGTGGAGCCATTGTTAGGGCAGTACACAAAGTGAAAAATCATGTATGGACCACATTATGGTTGGCTAAATAACATAACAATCAAACGCCAACTGAGACGATGACAGTAAGCTCCCCAAGGAATAAGGACGCAAGGAACCCAGCACGTACCTCTGATGTCATCCAAGCTCGGGGGTTCGCTCGATACCATACGTACTCCTGCACGTGGAAGTCTGATCGAAATGATCGCGAGCGCAAATGTTTGCCGATGACAATGGGGGGCAAGAACTCGGACCCATCCGCATTCACACAAAGTCCGAGGGTGAATCGTTCCTTATCAACTTTTCCACCACTTAGCGGTTCGGTACCGTACGAGCGCCGGGGCTGCTGGCCTGAAAGGAATCCGGTTTCATCCACATTGAATACGTCACAAGGCTCGAAATCCGATAGGATTAGGGGAAGAATCTCTCGCGCTAGGCCTATAGAATGAGTGTTCGCAGCTTTAGCCTCACCTTTGCGCATGTACGAGGATAAGCCTAGCCGAGCCAACGCCCGACACAACCAGCCTGAGCTTACGAGGAAGTCTTTCGTTAGCCGCATGTCTTTGGCCATGTCTTGTGCTTTGCCAAGAAGTACATGAAATGTCACTGGGCGGTTTTCAGCATTTTGCCTAGCTGCCCAGGTCGCGAGTCTAGTCTCTACCGCCGTATAGTGACCCTTTGTCTTGCGCTTCCGTGTCCCCGGCAGGGTAGTTCCCTCTAGCAAATACTTGCCGTTTCTCAGAATTTTGCCTATGGTAGTGCGGTGGGGAGTTTTTTTGAATTCTACTTCTACCCAGTCCATAAGCTCACGAGTCTCCATGGTCGGATTTTCTGCGGAATATAAAACAAGTCTCCGTTTTTGGTCTAGAGTTAACGCAGTATTGCGGGTTGGATTAGGCTATCAGAGTAGAAGAATGATTAAAGGAGAGAGAACATGTGAATATACCTAAGAGTTGTACCCTATATAAGACATGACTCTATTCAGTCTATGCAAACATAGTAGATATACATGTTTGACACACCCCCTAGACTGCATAGGGGCAGGTCATGACAAAACAGCTCAGGGTGGCACTACTAGTCCAGCCTCTGAGACAAGGGTCTAAAAGACCAGCCAGAAGGAGTACAGACAAGGCAAAAACAAGTACAGGGCGGCACTACTAGTCCAACCACTGTGAGAGGACACAAGTCCAGTCTGAGTGTACATATATATAGGACAGTACAAAGTCAAGGCCCAAGCAAGTGAGAGACTACAGGAACTAGACCAAGCTGTACACAGTGCCGCTGATATCAGCTGTGTTGGCACCTGAGGCCAAGTGTACTACGCGAGCTTGGCGTCGCTGCTGTAGCTCGCGCAGGAGGAAGTACCGCAGCTGGATATGCTTCGCTCTGCCCTCGAGTCGAGGCTCCTGACACAGGAGGATCATGGCCCTGTTGTCAGCGTACAGGACCGGGGCAGAGCTAGGCTGCTCACCTAAGTCAGCGAGCAAGAAGGTCAGCCAGCGGAGCTCCTGTGCCGCCATGGCACCGGCGTAGATCTCAGCCTCATAGCTGGACTGGGCAACAGACGAGGAGCGGGTAGCTCTCCACGAGACAGCACCTGAGCCAAGGCTGAAGCAGTAGCCCTGGGAAGACCTGAGCGTCTCGGCGTCGTGTGCCCAAGAAGCGTCTGTGTGTCCAGTCAGGACCACCGGCCTGCGTCCGCCTAGCACAAACCCCATGCCCGATGTACTTGCAAGATAACGCATAACCCTCTTAGCGGCAGACCAGTGCTGAGGTCGGTGTCTGCCTGTGGCCACAAAGCGCGCCAGGATGCTGAGAGGGTATGCGAGATCTGGGCGAGTGCAAGTCATCAGGTACATGAGGCAACCCACCAGCTCAACGTAAGGACCACTGGGATCTACCGACTCCTCAGGAACTGGAGCGGAGAGTCTGTGGTCCAGAGGAAGAGGGGTGGGCTGTGCTGAGGAGAACTGAAGGCCGAACCTCTGAAGGACCTGGCGCACCAAGTGTGACTGAGTCAGGGTGATGGTGCGCGCAGCTCTGTCCCTGGAGATCTGCAAACCAAGGTAACGGCGCAGCTCTCCAAGGTCAGTGCAAGTGTGTCTCTTCAGCAGCTCTGCCTTCACCGAGGCCAGTGCGTCCCTGTCTGCAGTGGCGAAGACCAGGTCGTCTACGTAGACAAGGATGTAAAACGGAGTCTGGCCAGCACGAACAAAGAGTGAGGGGTCTGCAGAGGACGGAAAGAACTGCAGGTCAGCGAGGGTAGCACGCAACGTGTCGTGCCACTCACGGGGCGCCTGGCGCAGGCCGTAGACTGGGCGCCGCAGAAGCCACTGGGTCCCAAGAGGGAAGGCACCAGTGAAGCCCTGAGGGCGACGCAGGTAGACCTGCTCGTGTAGGCTGCCCTGAAGGAAGGCAGTGGAGAAGTCGAGGGAGTGAAGCTCGTAGTCACGCTGAGCCGCTACGTGTAGCAGAACCCGAAGAGTAGTCATCTTCGGGGTAGGAGCGAAAGTCTGAAAGAAGTCCACCCCCTCGCGCTGACTGAAACCTCTAGCCACGTAGCGCGCCTTGAACACAGGCGGCTCTCCAGGAGGGCGCTTCACCTTGAAGAGCCAGCGGTCATCGACTACGTTCACCCCAGGCGGGGGAACTGCGTCGACGAAGGTGCCGGTGGATCTCCAAGATGCCATCTCCTGCTCCATGGCAGCTATCCACTGCGAGGCCAAAGGTCCCGAGGTCGCCTCAGCGTAAGTGCGAGGGGTCGGGATGTCGAAAGCGTCTGGGTCACCCTCAGGGACTAGCAGCATGGAACAGAGATGGGGAGCAGCCTCGGATAGGAAAGCAAGCTCGAATTGGCGGTCCTCCAGGACGTCACTGCCAAGGGCAGGAGCACCCCCGACAGACGGAGGACAGGCAGGGTCCGAGACCAGAGCGGTGGCGTAGTCAAGGCGGCAGGTAGAGGCGAAGTCAGCGACAAGGGCGTCAAGACTCAAAACCGGAACCGACGGGTCGGTAACGAGAGAGGCAAGGACCCGAGGAACAAGAGGA